TCTATCTCTATCAACGTGCATTGCTTTCTTGGTAATGGATACAACCTAAAGTAAGCTTTTGAGCATTGTGTTCAGAAGTTATAATGGTATCTGCCCGTGAAGTGGCATACATGTGCTCCTGCAGCCATTAGAAAGAACAACCTAAAACGACACTGTTTTACTTGAAACAAACTCATGTGCAACTGCAGTCATTAGAGAGAACAACTTACAACAACACTGTTCTGCAAGAAACAGTTTGGCTCTTTCTATCTCTCTTAACTGGTAAACAGCTGATGGACATATGCCTAATAAACTGAAGCTGCGTCACATAACAGAGCAACACATTAAAAGCTAGAGAGCAGCAGCATTTAACTCAATGCACAAGCAAGAGACACATCACAACAAACCTGATCACCATCTTTAATGCCAAAAACTCTAATGCATGCTTTGTCATCGATAAGATTTTGGCCTTCGTAACATAAACAGAAATGTCCCCATACAAGTGACCTAAGAGCAATAAAATTTAATAGTTGAAATAGAAAAATTCACGAAAAAACTAAAATAAACTTACTAAGCTCCAAAAGGAACAAAAACAAAATCATTGGTAGCGAAATTAATCAAGAATCTCATAACAAAAAAAAAAAAATCATTAGTGTCAAAACTACCATGTAATCTTGCAATGTTCATCCCCCCCGGGTGAAACAAAAACTTCCTCTATCGCTCGTTTGAGTTCTGCTACTGTACCATTGCGCGCTACACGAACACCTGGAGCGCCAAATCATACAGAATCAATTAAATTTATAATTAACACGATAGTGGGAGCAAGTAGCATCAAAATTTAGGTTATTTTCTTGGTACGTTTGTCCTCCACAGCGATAAACAGGGGAAAATGGGGAATAATGTGGAGGAATCGCGAGAGTTAATTTTCGCGATGTTGTACTTTTCTATATCATAACACTTTAATTAGGCGCGCATTTTAAATGCTTTCCGGCACAGTGTTCTCAAGAAAGTATTCAATTCTATTCTCTTAAGCAAGTTACGTTTAAGCACTTTCACCTCTCATCTCGAAAAAAGAGACCGATAGTAATTTTCGAGCAAAAGCGAAAATCATCTAATTCAGAGTTCTCAGGTGTGATGGACAGAAAAGAAGAAAAAAGAAAAGGTCGAGAACGGCGAAGGAATCACCAAATACAGAGCCATCGAGCTTCAAGACGAAGAGATCAATGAGGTCTTGGCGAGGAAGCAAGCGATAAGGCATCCGGCTGAGAGCGTCGACATCGCCGTCTCCGTCGAGAGTCGGCGGAGCCAAACACCGGGTATCAATGAAGCGGTTGAAACGCCATAAGTTACCGATCTTACTCCTCTCTCGGCCGCCGATCCTTGGCATTATAAGGCTGTTGCAGCAGCTAGGGTTTGAGTGAATTTGAAGAAGGGGAGAGGGAGGGAAAACGAAGGGATTTTTGGGGAGTTTGTTGGTTTGGTTCTTGAGCTTTGAAATGGAGAGGACCGTTACAAATGGACTCGCGCTAAGAATTGTATTTTTAAATCCACCAATTGCCACTCGCGACTCCAAATGCTTAAACTACTCGCGCCCTTCTCTCGCCATGTGTACAAAGGTGGGCCCTTCACTGCTCTAGCCATGGTTTATTTTAGTATTTTGTGCTTCCAAAATATTCATTTGAATTTTTGTATTGTTTTCTTACTTTTCTAGGTATCTGTGCTTTTAAAAAATAATAATTTCGATATCTATAAATAAAAAATTTAACACAAAATTTTTACACAATAGAAATCTTTTAATACAAATTTATGACTACCTCTCAAAAAAACTTTGCAGAGTGAAGTGTTATGTTAAAATTATGATCGAAATAAATTTGATAAAAATGAAAATAAAGGAACCAAAATTATCAATTTTCTAAAATATAAGGATCAGAACTAACGTTTCAAAAGTACATGACTAAAGTGAATAAAAGTCAAAAGTATGTAATTAAAATTCGCGTTTTAAATTTATAGAGCAAAAATATTTAAACCTAATTTTTTATTTTGTACCCCTGCAATTTTTAAAAGTTTATATATTAGATATAATCTTGTATTTCTTGAAGTTTATGTGTTGGGATGCAAAGTTGCAAGCAGTCTTGCATCGACCAGAACACATGAAGATGATTAAAAAGACTAATTGAAATCCATGTAAATATAGGTCTAAAGTAGGCAATATCATATCATTGTAAAATTAACAAAAAATAAATAAAAAGATCTTAATAAATAGTATCAAGAGTCATGTCCTAAACTTAATCATATTGGAGAGGGCAACTGTCTGCGACGACTCGAACACCATTTGAAATGTGTGGAGGCTATCAGTTTTAATTGTATTGAGATCATGATCTAAGAAATTTACCTAATCCTTCCTTACCTATCATGGTGGATGGAAAATAAGACAATAAATTTGTTAATGTTTCTGGTTTTTTAATAGGCAAACTGTTTTTTCCCCAATAAATTATGATTGTGCTTTATGAGCATCACTTTATGATATAACTTCTAGTGATCCAGTATTTCTGTGATAAAAAAGAAAAAAAAAAAAGATATCAAAGTGAATTAGTGGTGGTTGGGCTCTATTGAATAAACAATTTGCTTTCTATAAAAAAATAAATAAATAAACAACTTGCTAATATATATTTAATAAAAATTATAAAATAATCATATATTTCATGCTACTCTCTGCTCTCATCCATCTTTATCATTCTCTTATAGTTGGTGCAAAGAATCTTGTCCCTCCTACAAAAGGCAAACAAAATGGAAACAAAAAGAAGTCTATACATGCATATAGAGAGAACCACCAGGTTGAATACAGTTTGTTTTGATGTCACTTACAATATATATTCAAACATAAATTTGAACCCAAAAAAATAATAATAATAAAAAAAGTCTAAAAGGGCAACCACAAATCATACAATCTCTCAGCTGCACTCATAAAAAACAATGCTTGAGAATCAATAGCCAAATTACTACCACCTGCCCCTGGCATGCTTTTGTAAAGGACAGCCAGAGCTAACCTTGGACTCCCCAAAAAAAAAGAAAAAAAAAAACAGAGCTGTCTGAAACTTCTTTCTATGCTAGTAGACTGATAAGCTGCTGTCATGTGGGTTTTGTGTTGAATCCTTTTCTTCTGAAATGAAGTCTGAGCTATCTTCACCAGCTGCTGTTTCTTTAGCTTGAGCACCTACCTGATGGCTCTTGAACATCTCATCGTCTTCTAACTTGGCTACCTTCTCTTTTGATTCTCCTTTCAGCAGCTCCACCACCTCGAGCATTGTGGGTCGTTTCTCGGGTCGTGAATGGGCACAGATGAGTGCGACAAGGATGACTCTCTTTAGCTCTCCTGCATTGTAGTCTCCATTTAGCTTTGGGTCTGCAAGTTCATCAAACTTCTTCTCCACTACCATTGGCAATGCCCAGTCCGTGATTGTGCGTTTCATTGTTGCGCTTAATTTCTCGAGGGGTTTCTTGCCGGTGGCCAGCTCGAGCAGGAGAATGCCAAAGCTGTATACGTCACAACTCTCTGATGCCTTCCCTAGCATGGCATATTCCGGAGCGAGGTATCCAAGTGTGCCCTTGACTCTTGTAGTTACATGTGTTGCACCATCGGGGATGAGTTTCGCGAACCCGAAGTCGGCTACACGAGCTTGAAAATCTGGATCGAGCAAAACGTTACTAGCTTTGATGTCTCGATGAATGATATGTGGAGTTGCTTGGTGGTGCAGATAGCTGGAAAGAACAAAATTAGGACCTATCAAACCACTTTGAAAAATGTGAAGATAAAATAAAGATGTGTTTACTTACGCAATTCCCTCGGCAGACCCAATAACGATTTTCATTCGGCGTTTCCAATCGAGAAGACTTTCTGCCGAGTGATGTCCATGTAGATGAGAGAGTAGACTTAGATTGGGCATGTAGTCATACACGATCAAACGCTCCTGCCCTTCGGCACAGTAACCACGTAAACTCAATAGATTCTTGTGCCTAACTCGGGCCAGTATCTCAACTTCCACGGAAAATTCCATATCCGCTTTGTTGCTCCAAACCTTCAACCTCTTAACTGCAATCTGCAAAAACATTCAGTTCAGAGAGGTCGCAGTTTTTAAATAAATGATAACTTCTTCAAGTGAGACCAAAACTCAGAAGATCTGATATGGAATTTCAATTCTTGAAGTATACAAATGAGGAGATTTAGTCATTTACAAACAAGATTCCCTCTTTGAACTTTATAGTACTATCTCCTTGTCATGAACGCCCGAGCATCTCAAGCTACTTAAAGCGTGCTAAACTCGCAACAATTTATTGCAAATTCTAACTTTCCCTTAGTACGGGCATTTGCTCTACACTGCATTCATTACAAATCTACCAAACCTTCATACACCCCCAAAAAATTCCAAATTGAGAAGAGAAGACAGATGTCCTTATGGAATACTGTGTAAACGCTTAAATTTAGACCTAAAACAAACTAGACCGAACTTACGCTAACAAATATACTATTTCTTACCATAATCTATAAATACGAGGTAAATCCGAAACAGCCAAGTTTATAGGGCATGATTATGTTTCTGGGTCTACAATAATTCAATACCAACAGATTCCGATGCTTCAAAGCACTAGAATTCTCACGAATAGTAACATTATGCTGGATGGTAACTAAACAGAACCCAAGAAGAATCTTATCGATATAAGGAGCACCAAACAGCCCTGGCCAGCATCCTTTCACAATCATATGAGAAACATCTTGAGAATTTTACGATATACAGAGCATGAACATGAAGTTTCAAGTAAGTGTAAACTCCACCTCGTGAATTTAAAAGATTCTAGTACACCCAACAGATTATTCAGCACAAGAGAGATCTTAAATTAATCAGCTTAGAAGACTAAAACTAATAAAATAAGTATTCCAATGGAGCTCAAATGACTTGGTAAGTTCAAGAAAAACCAAGAATGGTGGCATAATTTCCACGAAACAAATTGAAAAAAGGGAAAAAAATCCAATTTTAAAACTTAAATAAACGAATCTATGTCACATCAAGTAGTCCTTTGATCACTATTGAACAAATAATTACTAGGGATCGTAAATTAAGAAAAGTAAAGGCGTTGATTACTTGTGATCCATCCCACAGCTGACCCCAATAAACACTACCAAATCCTCCTTCTCCAAGCTTGTTATCATAATTAAAATTGTTTGTGGCAGAGTGTAATTCCTTCAACGAGAAGACCCTCCACGTTTGCTGTTTCTTCCCTCTTTCTTTCCTGCACAATAAAACAGTCAACAAACACCCTCCCAGAAAATTACAAACTCTTTCAATCATATGACTCAGGATCAGGGGAACAAAAAACAAAGTAAATCGTCCGGCTTTGGAATCAGATCAACAAAATGAAGTAGAGTTCACTGGAACTCTCATATTATGCCAAATTCAAACTCCAATAACTAAAACTTAATATGCCGACAAAGTGCTTGATAAAATCCCCCTTTGAAGTCCGAACAACCATAGTCAGACCCGAGCCCAAAATTGGAATCCAACACAACTTATATCAGATTTTGAGAAGCCAACAAGATTTCAACCTCAACCCAGAAGCTAAATCTTTCGGATTACCCAAACAGGGGAGCCCAACAAGAATCATATCAGACCCAGCCGAAAACCACGTATATTGATTAAAGGAAACAAACAGTAAGTTCAAAACGTACCGATCGGAACCAATTCCACAGCAAAACATCGGGCGAAAGGCCATCAAAACCGCGCCAAATAAGACCCACTTCCTCAAACTTATCTTCTTCTTTGTCTATCTGCTGAAACTCAGAGTGTCAACTGTTCGTTGGGAATTTGGGGTGCCTTGGGGCGAGTTACAGAAGGGAGAAGATGAGGAAAGAGAGAGATGCGAAGCGTAAAGGCTTTGAGGGAAGAAACAAACATTTGAAAAGGGGAAAGAAATGGGTTTGCGTTTTGATTTCGCTGGCAAAAAGTTGAATGAGAGTTTCGCCGAATGTTGGGGTTTGGGGTCAGACCGAGGCAATGCGTTTTGTAGAGAGAGAGAGAGAGAGAGAGAGAGGGCCTGTAGTCTTCTTCACGCCTCCATGGCTGACTCTCTCTCTATCTTTTTTTTTTTTTTTGTGTTTGTAATTTTCTATTTCAAATATTCCAGCTGTGTTCAAATTCCGAACTGGAACGACATGAGAGAAGAGACAATTCCATAATTCTTTTTATAATTACACAATGTTGATTAAATTTATTCTTGAATTCGAATCCACTACTCTACATTTGCCATTCGGTTTCAAATATTTTTAAAATATTTCTTAAATTTAAACTTATTTTTAAATAATGTGTTTTTAATATTTATGCCATTATGTCGACAACATAAGCTATTTCTATCGTTAATGATCTTCTAGATTTATGAATAATGAAAAGATTATAAGGTAAATTGTCGAATTAAATTGTTTTTGCAATTGAATGGTGCAAAAAGGAACTTCCAAGGAAAATAAATGATGGAAACATTAAACACATTATTTTGAATGGTGAAAAAGGTAACGGTGGATAAAACACACATCATTTTTAAAAGAAGTTTCGGGTTTATAATACTTTTAAAAGATAGACATAATTTTAGTAATACTAAAAAATGTCCCTATATCGAATGATCAACTTGATTAAGTCCTATATTTTCAATCAAAAAATTGGCGGTTCGAATCTTTATTTTGTTCTATACTAAAAAAGATTTTTTTTAGAACCTTTACTTTGATTATGTGATTTATTGATTTCATTAATTATAAATTACATCGGACGAGGAAGCAATTTTATAATTTTGTGAGTGTAGAGTTTTCAAAACCGAGCCTTGGATCTCTCATTCATCATTAGATAAAAGCAACATTGCGTTATATATGTATCTTTTATAAAATTTAAAGAAATGTTTAAAAAGTTTAATGAATCATAGCCAAAGGAAAAAGGGCAAAAAATAGAGAGATATTGATAGCAACGTTTCTAATTGGTCACGTACTCATAAAATACTTTTGTTATTATTTCAAAAGTCACAACATAAATACTAAAGATACAAAAATACAAAAGTTGGACTAAGAGAAAAGGAATAAATAGGAGAAGATAGAAAATATGATAATGATGAAAAGACATGGGACAAAGTCATTGACTATAATGATACACAAAATTTATCGATTTTCTACCACTCACAATTTAATTTGGTTACCATTATCAAAATTAAATATTATCTCTCTAGGTTTTGTCACTCAAGATTCAAACAATCATATGATAATTGAAGACCATTTGAAGTTTTGATTAATAATTAGAAAGAAAATATAAGTGGGTGAGTTTCATTAATTTCAACCAATCACCTTAAGAAATGTAAACAAAAGAAGAGGACCATATGATTGGATTGATGAAATGGGCATAAAGTTTCAAACTCCACCTCTCTCTCTCTCTCTCTCTCTCTCTAAAAATGGCCAATCAATCCAATGATTGGTTGTCAGGAGAGAGAAAGCCAGGTAATTGCTCAAACATTGAAACAAATATTAGTTTTTGAGGAATCATATAGTTTCTTACATGGTACTTACAATGACACAATGAAATCCCTTGAATTGTATTCAAAATTTTCAGGTCTATTGTTGTAATTATATAAATTAGATCTTTTTGTTCTAAATCATTTGAAGAATCAGCATCTCATTCACCGAACTTGCTTAAATTATCTGTTATTTTTATAGACCAAGCACCTAATTAAAAAAATAATGGTAAATACCAGTTTTGATACATTTCAAAATTCATATAATCCTCCATGGTATTGAAAACAATGAGAATATTGGTTAAACCAAATTAGAAAAAATTGTATCTATTGCTAAACTATGGTAGTCCGAGACATTGCAGGAACAATGCATGAATCGGACAATATCACAATTATTTTATGCATTTTGAGCTTATCTTGTTATTAGTCTCGTTCAACACTTCCATATGCTAAAAAAGAAAGATGGATGACTTTGAGGCAATAAGAACTCCAAAAACTAGTTAGAAAACCCAAAGAGCTATGAACATTTCACTTGATTGAAATGGTCGCAACGCTCTACCATCTACAAATCTCTAAATGTATGCAACAATTCACTCATTCTTCCTTTTCGCATTTAGAAGGTTTGAATCTCCGACTTCAAAGTAATGAGTAACTGCTAATTATCGCTAAATTAGGTTCATGCAGCCCTACTAATCAAACTTTTGTTATTCATCAAAAAAAACTATGAAAGCAGAAATTAATATATATTTAAATTTGATGAAGAGATTGTTAATCCTAGGAATCATAACACTATAGTAGTAGTCCATTTTTAGTAATGTAAGTTATTGTAAGTGAAGTGGTGGCAAATATTCATTTAATATTTGCAATTTTCAAAGTAGGAACTGATTTTTATTTTTCATTTCTCTATTAACCCTCATGGTAGTTTCACAACGTGTTTTGAATTTAAAACAATCATCTCCGAATAAGACATATATTATGAATTTAAAAAATAAAAAAAATTATGTGGTAAGTGTTTGGCTCTGCCTAAGAAAAAAAAAATAGTATGCTTAGATTATAGTTACACTAATCAAAATATAAGAATTATAAAATAGGATGGTTAAATCGTCAATTCATTGTTTGTAATGTACTACTTATATTGGAAAAAATAAAACATATGTTTTCAAAGCAGTTACATTGTTTGGATATTCACTCATAGACCACATGATCCATGTCTTAAATCTTCTAAAATCCATCTATTCATCCGGTTACCAAATTTAATTGCAAATTTTTTAAAATATAAAAGAATTTTTTTTTAAAAAAAATGGTATGCTTAGTTATAGTTACACTAATTAAAAAATTCATAATAAATTTTAGGCTAAAACTTAATTTAAAAAATAACATCAAAAGAGTTAAAATATCTCGTTGCTTCTCATGGAGGTTCCATTTTCACATTTTATTGTACTAAAAAAATAGTAATTAATTTTATTCCGAAAAGAAGAAAAAAAGATTCCAAATACCGTCACGCCTAAAAACGGAATATTTGAAAATAAAATACCACTAATTAAGTTGATTTCAATGTTGTCAGAGCTGCTTGCCCGTTGCACTATTTTTATTCAATTAAATTATAACCAAGTGGGCCAGGCCCTCGTGAGACAAACGTTACTGGGCCTAAATTTCCCCTACACAGCCATATATATATATATATTTTAAAAAGAGTCGCTATAAAAGAAATATTTATTTTCAATATTCCCTTTGAACTTTAAAGAAAGAAGAACAAAATAGACCTTGAGTTATGTTACAAATTTTTTAAATCTTCATATTTTTTTGTCTCTCTTAGTATAATTTAATAAAAAACCAAATACAAGTTGTTAGTTGGAACAACCCAATAAGAACCGAAGTTCTATGAACTGTCCCTCGCGATGCATTATCACTCCTTACAACATTTTCTCCATCCATGGAAACATGTTGTGTGGTTCGAGTCGGTTCAAATCTCGGGACATCACATGGGCCAATACCGACATTATACGTCGAGCCCGACACGTCCACAACCCCGCTCTCAGAGTTGTAACACAACCCCAAGTTATTATCCAATCTAAGCTTCCTCTTCATCTGCCAAATCATCTCCTTTCGTAATGGTATCGGTCCGGTTAGCAAATTGTCGTTGAGTTTCAAGTCATTTAGATTCTTCAAGTCTTGAAAGCTGGAGGGAATTGAACCATTGAAGTGATTGCCATCAAGATGTAGTACTCGAAGATTCGGTACTCGGCCCAAAGAGCCAGGAATTGAGCCGTGGAAGCCCATGTTGGAAAGAATCAACGTCATCAGGCCCATCATACCATCAAAGAGATCGCCAGAAATAACACAGCCCATTGAATTTCCCTCGAGAATCAAAACTTCCAGAGAGCCCAAAAGCCCAAACGACGTCGGAAGTGGGCCGGAGATTCGATTATAGCTGAGATCCAAAAGCACAAGGTCTCTAAGCCCACCAATAGACTCCGTTATCAACCCGGTCAAACGATTACGACTCAAATCCAATTTAATCAGAGAACGACACGTGGCGATCCCGGCCGGAACCGAACCGGTGAGAAGATTCTGACTCAGGTCTAGTACCCTCAAGTTAGGCAGCCCCAGAGAAGTCGGGATCGAGCCGGAGAGCTTGTTCCGGCTCAAGTCCAAAGACCGCAGGCCGGCTAAACAGTTGAGCGAAGCCGGAATGGAACCGTTGAGGCTGTTTTCGTGAAGGTCCAGAAGCTTGAGGCGGGTCAAATTGGTCAATTCAAGTGGGATGGGGCCTACATGGCCGTTTTCTCTAAGGACGAGCGTCTGCAGAGAAGGGCCCAAACGGCCCAAAAAGGGAGGGATGGGCTGGGGGATGCCGGAGAAGCAGCGGTAGAAGAAGAGGGATCGGAGGTGGGGGAGTTTTGTGATGGAAGGGGAGATTACGGATCGGGTCGGGTCGCAGGTGGGGAAAGCGGTGTCGTCGGAGAGGGATCCGAATGAGAGGGAGACGACGTGGTAGAGATTGTCCTTGTCGGGCATGCACTCGATGCCGTGCCAGCGGCCGCGGCAGACGTCGGGGATTTGGACGGCCCAGTCGTTGCCGGTGGCGGTCATGATGTCGTAGACGGCGGATTGCTCGGCCGGGTCGGTGCGGACGCCGGCGGTGTTGTGGGAGAACCCGGATTGGGGGCCGTCGACGAGGGCGGAGGGGACGCCGGAGTCCGACATGATGACGGTGAAGGAGGCGGCGTGGTATGTGAGGTGGAGAAATGCGAGTAGCAGTGAGATTTTGATTTTGATTTTGATTTTGAATTTGAAAAAGGCCATTGGAGAAGAAGAAGAAGTTGGGGAATTGGGAATTTGGGGATTTGGGGAATATTTATAGGGTTTAGAGAGAGAGAGTTTGGTGGAGAGAGTGAAGTGAGGGTATTTATTGGGTCACGAGAATGAGGAGGATTTGTTGATGGAAGTAAAAATTGGGACAAACGAATATTTGCATTTATGGGGGTCACGGGATTTTCGCCTTGGGCCTGGGCTTTGATTATGTGGGCTCTCTCTGCACGTGGGCCCAACTTCATCTCTACAAATCATTTGACATTTACAGAGTATGTTCCTTTGGAGATGGGTTAGATTAAGGCTAATCCAAACTCTAACCAAACCACGCTTCTAATTTACCAAAAATTGAAATGTATACTTTTAAGATTTTTTTTTAATTTATAATTTCTATTATGAATTATAATATGGAAATTTAACAATGGAATTTTTCGTGCGAAATTTAACTATTTTAATAAAGATTGTGGAGGGGTCTCTATGCCCCGCTTTATTACTCTTTAGTTTCTTGTATTTTGAGCTTTCCTCTGAAAAAAAATATATACTCGGAATAATTAACTTTTAATTTTAATTTTTTCTTTCAAATAAATGAGGGAATAATTACAAAGAATTTTGTGCAATATCCACTGAATTTTGTGAAAAATTTTGTGGAGATAGAAGATGAAATAGGAGGCAAGGATACACCATCGTCCTCGCCCAAAGAAAAAAAAAGACCATAAAAATCTATTTAAAATTAGAAAATTCCAGTGAGTAACAAAAATTATTTATGTATTTCAAAATATGTCACTTGTTTTTTTTTTAATTTTTAAGTACAACATAAATTTTCACCCATATAGTAGTATAATAGATACTCGTAGTATTATTAGCATATATCAGACACTTATATCAATTGCACATATATTCATATTAGTAGTATATCAAATGTATATCACGTACCTATTAGAAGAATATCTGGTACTCATACCAGTAATATATCATAATAGAGGTATATCACATATATATCAACATTGAAATATATTATATTTATAGGTATATTAATATTTTAAAAAAACTAGATGGGGTTATTATTTTATTTTTGTCATCTGTAACTGCGGCTATAAATTTCAATCCTAAATCTTGATAATGAGTATAAAATTTAAGATGGTTGATATGAAAAAACAACAAAAAAAAGTCATATAATGCAACGATGGGAATTAGAAGGGATGAAATAAGATTATATAATTAGTAATACTAATATTAGGTTTTTGGTACGTGTCTGATAAAGCCACCCCCATGCAAACCAGCCCACTCCAGAGCGCGCCACCTAATTAAAAGCTTCCCTTATCAGTTCTTAATATCACACCCCACAAAAGGATAAAAAATCAAAAAGAGTTTCAGCCGATCAGAGGAAAAAAAAGGAAAAAAAAGAGAAAAAAAATGCAAGCGAGGGTGGAGAAGTCCGGCGAGATCCAGCGGGTGGGAGAGAAGAAGGTGAGGGATCTGATGGCGGAGAAGCGGCGGCTGGTGGAGGTGCCGTACACGGCGTCTCTTGCGCACACCATGAACGTGCTGGTGGCGAACCGGGTTCTGGCGGTCCCCGTGGCGGCCCCGCCCGGCCACTGGATCGGGGCCGGCGGCTCCATGATCATGGAGTCCGATAAGCGGACCGGGCTCCTCCGGAAGCACTATATTGGCATGGTCACCATGCTTGATATCTTGGCTCATATCGCGGGCGATGATGATCATGATTATGATCTCGTCGATCTCGACCGTAGGATGGCAGTTCCGGTGTCGTTGATCATCGGACATAACGTCGAAGGTCTCAGTCTATGGACTCTAAATCCCAACACCAGGTGGCCTCACTTCACATCTTAATTCTTCTTCATTGATCTAAAGGGCAGGCCAAAACCGAAGAAAGGGTTAAGAATATTTTATTTTATTGTTGACCTCATAAATTTTTAGAATTGAAGATCAACCGAATTGCAAAGAGTCTTTGTGATATAATATAAGTGAGGATAATCATGTGGTAAAATCAAAAAGTAAATTCATAAAAAAAATTAGACACTAGAGACCATTGGATTTTTTTCTCCGAGTGCAACATGTGAAGGTAGGAGATCAAATTCCCAACCTTATGATTAGGTGTGAAGGTAGGGGATCGAATTCTCAACCTCATGGTTGGTTAGGGTTGGAGGTACCCTGAGTGCATGTAAATTAAGGTGGAGAATCAAATTCACACTCATCGAATTTTCAACCTCATGGCCATGGCAACAACCTCATGCTAAGGTTGGAGGTACGTTGAGCTGCTCTAGCCACGAGATACGTTGAGCTGCTCGTTTTGGTGATGAGGAGTATTATGCTATTGATATCCAACAGGACATGTGGTGTGGTGGGGTCCATGGTCCTTTTAACAGAATATTTTTGCCTTATTTGATCTTAATTTTATGCATTTTTTTTTTGGAATTATGAGGTTAATTTGGTTTGGGGAGATATTCACCTCAAAGGTAAAATTTGTTTAGAGGTGAAATTGAAATTGAAAGATTTAGGTAAAAATGGATATATATACACCAAATTCAAAGGGTAAAGATGCATAATTTTGTTTTCCTTGGAAAGAGACAAAATTTTGAGGCACCTTAATGAGTTTATGATGTGGTGGCAGCATATTAGAGTGTATGGAGATATTCAGCAAGGGGATCCACCGGGCGCTGGTGCCGGAGGACGGGCAGGTCGGGGAGGCGGTGGGCGTCGAGCTGGTAGAGTCGGCGGCGAGTTACAGAATGCTGACTCAGATGGATGTGTTGAGGTTTCTCAGCGAAAAGGCACAGGAAGGTGAAATGCAAGGAATATTGAGACGAAGTGTGAAGGAAATGGAAGCCATTAACGAGAGCGTTATGGGGATTACAGATAAAACCAAAGTTATTGAAGCAATAAAGTGCATGAAATCTGGTTTTCTCAATGCTGTTCCCATTGTTAGAAGCACACAGGCCGCTGAGGAAAGCCACAGACAACTTTTTACTGTATGTCAACCAACAACCCTATTTAATTTCCCTCTCTTTACATTCACACTTCATTTTGAAACTGTTCATAGTTTTATATGTTAGCAGGGTGTTCACGGATTGGGTTGGGGTTAGGGGATTTTTGGACGGGTTGGTCAGAATAGAGAATTGTGGTTTGTTAAGGATCCCACATTGAAAAGAAAAGGGACCTAACAATGGCTTATAATAAACATGGGCTACTCCTCTCATTACTAATTGGTTTTGAGATGAAATCCTATGAATATTAATATGGTATCAACCACGATCTTGAGGGGGCATGGTTTATAATAAACATGAGCTACTCCTAGTTGAACCGAACTTTATTTTTCTAAACTCGAGCACCGAACCTATTTGGTCGGTTCAAAAAATCTTTAACCCAACTCGAACCGATAAAATCTGGTTATTGGATTTTTTGAACACTCCTAGCTATATGTTAGTTTCCATCCGTTAATCTCTTAAACTATGGGTAGAAATATTAAGTTTACTCTAATCAATTTACTTAAATAGACATTAGAAAGGATAAAGAACCTAACAAGAGTTTATAATAGATATGAACTATTCTGGTTAATTGAGATGGAATTCATAAATATTAATAATATGGTATTAGTCGAGAACATTTAAATAATATGGTATTAGTCGAGAACGCTTAAACGAGCATCCGACTGAAAAATAGATCATATTGATGAATCAAAAGAGCCACAATTTTGAAGGGGACATGTTAAGGATCATACATTGAAAAAATAAGTGATCTAACAAGGGTTTATAATAGATATGAACGGCTCTTATTGTAAATTTGGTTTTGAGACGGAATCTGGGAATATTAAAAGATTAAGATTAAGAGATTTAACACGATATTAGAGCCTAACTCCAGTAATACCCTTTCTTCCCTATGATTGGGTTAGTTTTAAAACCACAAGTAAGCTTTTCTTTCATCTCTTCTCTTATAGGGGAGAGGGAGGAAGCTAGTGGGGACGTTTTCAGCGACGGATCTGAGGGGGTGCCAGCTTGCGACGCTGCAGACATGGCTGCACCGGACGGCCCTGGGCTTTACTGAGGCAGTCGGGACAAGCCCTTTGTTCGGGGAGGAGGCGTCGAAGAGAGAACTGGTGACGTGCGGGCCAGAAAGTAGTATGGGGGAAGTGATGGAGAAGGTTGTGTCAAAACATGTTCACAGAATTTGGGTTATTGATGAACATGGCCTGCTTCTTGGCCTCGTCTCCCTTTCCGACATGATTAGAGTTATAAGGCTTCAGCTTCTCTCTCAACTGGGAACCTATTAGCTCTGTCTCTCCCTATATTATGTTTAATGTGTTCGTTTATATTATTTTGTTTTGGTTAATGTAATTGTGAGGTTTTTGTAGGATTTTGTTTTGTTTTGTGAACTATATAGTGGAATTTTGTGATGCATCCACTCTTGAATTGGTTGGTTTTTTGTTTTGTTTTTTTTTTTTTTACTTCATATGATATGAGATGCCACTTTTTAATAAAAATAATTTTCAAATAAATACATTGACAAACTAAACCTATCTATCTTATAAATATTGTTGAAAATTATCCATATAAATGAATTATATTTATCCGATCTATCCACCTAAGCTTGTGATGATTTATTTATCCTGAACATGATATTAGAGTCTAAAAGGTCAAATGAGTATCTGATCAAAAATAGGATCCGATTTAAGATTGGTGAACTTAAAAGAGACATCATTTTGAAGGACATGTTAAGGATCTTATATTGAAAAGATACGAGAACTAACAATGACTTATAATTTAAGTGGACTACTTCTCTCATTGTCAATTGATTTTTGCTTTCGAGGGGAGGTTTGAGAATCCATCTAGAATCCATCTAGATATGAATTAAATTTGTTTAATCCATCTAATTAACCTTTTGGATTGAGTGGTGGTTTATTTATATATTTTATTCATCTTTAGTGATGATTTATTCATCCTAAACAAATATTACACAGGTGTGCAAGAAAAATTAGATGTATTATCCAAATTCTGCACATTTGAGTTGGAAAATTTTCAACTCGGATAATGTTTTATTCATCTTTAGTGATAATTTATTCATCCTAAACAAAGATTACATAGGTGTGCCATCTAATTTTCCTTGCACATTTGAGTTGTAACATTTTCAACTCTAATAATGTTTTATTCATCTTTAGTGTTGATTTATTCATCCTAAACAAATATTACACATAGATGTGCAAGAAAAATTAGATGTATCATCTAAATTCTGCACATTTGAGTTGGAACATTTTCAACACAAATATTTGAGTTTGATCTGAAATATTGTTTTAGTTCAATTCAAACCGACTAACACATTTGAGTTGGAATATTTTCAACCCAAATATTCGAGTTTGATCTGAAATATTGTTTTAGTTCAATTCAAACCGACTAACCAAGTAACGAACGTTCTCTTTTTACATAATTTCTATAATTTAATTTATTTATTTTTAGTTGGACACTGAAATGGAAAAAAAAGAAAAAGAAAAATAGAGATGGAAACGGAACTCATAATATGTTATCCAAAATCGGATAGACCAAAATTTTTGGGGAAGTCGTATGCCAAGCTTACCAAGAAACGATCCATTTAAAAAAAAAAAACTTACAAAAAAGAATTAAAAAAAAGAAGTCAACATAATAATAATTAATCTTCACGTGCACTCTCTGAGCTTTGAAGTGCCCACCCATTAGATTGGAATAATATATTTGATGCCCATTTCACAAAATATATATATTTGGACAATAATTCACAAATAGTTTTTATAAGGAGCAATATTATAAATTTAAATACTAAGTTTCTGAAAGCTTGATTTAGTGCAGTTGCTATACTTTTTAAAAAAATTATTGTGTTGATTTTAGTTTTTCTACTTTAAAACATCAATTTTAAATCTATTATTTCTAAAAAAAGTAACCAGTTTAATCAATCTTTGCAAAATTTACAATATTTTATACATAGAAAGAAACTCTTAAATATAAATTTATAATTACATTTCAAGAAATTTAATGAGTGAAGTATCAATTTAAAACTACGATGGAATGAAAGATAGATAAAAATAAAAATGAATGGATTAAAATAATCGCTTATTTAAGAGTATTATTAGATGTATTTAAGTTTTATTAATTCTGTTAGTGTGGCTAGTTAAGTGTACCACATGTGTGTATACATATGAAATACATAGAAGAATATTTTAATCTCAAATATTCAAAAAGTATAGGTACCAAGACATTAAAATGAACAAAAGTTGAAAATAAAGGAAAAAATCGAACATTTTAAAATTATAAGATTTTTTTTGAAGCGGAAATTATAAGAATTAAAATAAATCAAAGCAAAAATACATAGACCAAAGTATTAGTAAAACCAATAAATTTTTGTTATTTTTCTAGAAAAGTCATTATTATATAGTTATATATGTTGCTAAAGTTATTTCGACTTCAATTTTTATTTTCTAAAATTTGGAAGTACCTATGAAAAATGGAAAGGAATGAAAATCCCAACATGTATCCACAATGACTAGATTTTTTTCTTTTTGTTTTGTTTCATTTTCTTAAGAAATACTATGGCACCAGAAAAAGATAGAATTACACACACAACAAATAGAAAAAAGAAATAGTAGTGTGTTATCCAAAATCGGATAGAAGCGTAATTTGAGGGGAAGTTGTATGCCAAGCAATACAAAGAAATGATCCATTTTTTATTAAAAAAAAAGGAAAAAAACAAAGAAATCATATAATAATAATTTATTTGTCACGTGCACCCTTCGGAATGTCCGCCCATTAAATTGGAATAATATTTTGATTCTTAATTTACAGATAATTTTTAATATTTCAGAGAAGTTCAATTTTGCCCCTGGATTATTCCATTCAAAACTTCTGCAACTTGAATCAGTGTCAAAATTTATAATTCTTTAGTACTAATATTAAAAATTATCTACCAATAAATCATATAAAATTCAACCCTCAAAATACTTAAAATCATGGTAAAGAAATGTCCAAATTCAGTCACAAAATCAAGCAGAAAATAATAATAAATAAATAAAACTTAACAACAAAATGTCCAAAATCTAACTTTAATAAAAGCATTTAACACCATTAGAAAAAATTAATACCCACAGGCCACAAAAATGGGCTCATCCAACTAATGTTAATTATGCTATGCTTGTGTTGTCATGATTTTTTTGGTTCTGAGTTTGTTGGACTATAATACTAGAGGTTCTATCTCAAAATCAATTCACAATGGGAGGAGTAGTTCAGTCTATTATAAACCATTGTTAGATCCTTTTCTTTTTAATGTGGAATCCTTAACATTAAGAACACATTTTAATTTCTAACAAAATTTTGAAAAAGAAATAACTTCGTTTAGTTTTCAAAATTTAACTTAGATTTTACTAACGTTTTTAATGAAGTAATGATAAAATAAAAAAACACACTATGGAATTGGAACTAATGTTATAAGCTTAATCTTCAAAAGTTGAGGTATTAATTGCATTACTTATTTAAGTATAGTGTTTAAACTATAATTATCGATCAAGTTTGTTTTTATTTTATTAGCCTAATAATACAGGGTGATGGAGATTCGAACCTCAAATTTTTTAGTCGAAATATATATCTTAAACAATTGAGCTTGGTCTGGGGTTTAGATTAATGAAATGGGAAGTTTTAAGGTTAAAATTCATTCATCCACCCTAATTAAGTGGTTAAAATTGAACATTTTTCTTAAAATTATGAAGATTGTTTTGAATTAAATTTTTTATCTTTAAATTTCAGAGAAATGGAAAAGTACAAAAATTCCACATGTATATATCAGCGTATGAGGTGTCATAAATATTCCCACATTATGATAAAGTTTTTTCCGTACTACAATTCACTATTTTGAATGTCATTTTTCTTCCGTGTGGTGGCCGGTGGAGCCCTCCAATTCCAAACACCACATAAAATCACCAAAAGAAAAGAGGAAGAATAAAGCCAACGAATAATTTTCTTTTACATTTTAATTTTGAGGATGGGGACCCCAAATGAAAAGTTAAATCACGTTTACAAGAATTTAAAGTCTATTATTTTTGTTTATTATTTATAGTTTTTAAAAAATTTAAGTATCTTATAATTATTTATGTTCCTCATTTTTTACTTTTAAGAAACGTTTCTAAAATTGTGCAGAATTAATAATATAAGCATTACAAAATGATTACTAAAGGATTTGGATGACTTTATTATTAATTTTTGCTTTTGAAAGTTATATCCACTTCTTCTCAACATTTTTGGTATGTTTTTCACCTGGTTTCAACACAAATTTTAATTCTTAGCATAGTAAAGAAAAAAAAAACTATTTTTCAATGATTACTATTTTTTCTTTTTATTTTTTAAATTAGATTTTTTTGAAGTAAAGATAACAAAAGTAAAAAACATGTAGATGGAAGTAGTAGTTATAAATTAATATTTTAAAAATAGAAAATCAAAAATAAAATAGTTATCTAATAGAAATTAATATAGTTTGCTCATTTTTGTGGTCGTGCTTTTAGAACATTCATTTTGGTTAATGTATTTTCAATTTTGGTTCATTTTGATTTTTGCAATTTTTTTTAAGTGACTGTTTGTTCTTTTTATTTCATCTCAGTTTTAATCAAAATTTTAGACGTCTATTTTGTCCTTTTTTTTTTTTTGAATAATTTGGGGGACTAAAATGAAAAGAAAAACTTCTAAATAATAGACATTAAAACGTATAGTTAGTAATTTATATCCAAGTGAAAAAAAGAAAATTTAGTTTCTACTCTTTTTTATTAGAGTAACAATTTAGTCCTTAAACTTAACTTTGTAACGCTTTAGTCCTTAAAATTTCAAATTGGTAAGAGTAGGTTCTGAACTTCAGTATCTTGATTTAGTTCTTCTAATTTTAAAATTTGTAAAAATTTAGTCCTGTAAAAAGTCTCATCAAAACTAAGTGTTGATTTCTATCGCATAAGGATTTAGTATTTGTAATTTATAAACACATTTAGTCTCTCATTAACTTGATCTACACGTATAAGAAATTTTATTAAAATTTAACAAAATTTTTTACAATATAGATTAAATTGTTACAAATTTTTAACAACACAGACTAAATTGTTACATAATAAAGTTCATGGACTTAATTTTTACCTATTTAAAAGTCGAGGGATTAAATCCATACCCCACCAAAGTTAAGTTAAAATGACCACTTATATTTATTAATTAAATAGTTTAATACGAAATTAAAATTTAATTGATTTTTTTGTGAAGCGCTTATTTTAGGTATACATCGCTCAACCACAGAGCAACCATCGCCCCACCTACTCTGTCATTAAGGATCCCTTTTTTTTCTTTTCGTTTTCCTTCACGTTTTACACCACACACTGCAAAATCTCAGATCTCTGAAAAATCTTCATCGCCGTTCATCGAAATCTCCGCCGCTAAACTTCTCTCCGGCCTCCTCCGCTCCGATCCTTCCTCTAATGCGTCTCTCCGATGGCATTCGACGGTGCCGCTACCTTATCCGGCAATCTCAGGCGTAGACACGGCGACGACGGAGGAAAGATGGCGAAGAAGGAGTGCGGCAGCGGCGGCGGCCGTGGCTACTGCTACCAAGGGATCGGGAAGGCGTCGTGTATGAGATGGACGGCGGAGGATGTGGTGCACGTGGCGAGGTACCATTGGATACCCTGCGTATTCGCCATGGGTTTGCTGTTTTTTATGGGCGTGGAGTACACGCTCCGGATGGTTCCGCCGGCTTCTCCACCGTTCGATTTGGGGTTTGTGATGACGCGCCCGCTCCATCGCGTGCTCTCCTCCTGGCCCCAGCTCAACACGCTGCTGGCCGCTCTCAATACGGTAACTTCTTCCCAACTTTACTCCTCCAATGAATACTCTCAGCGTAGGTTTATTGTTTATCTGAATTCATTTTTTTAATTATTTCTGGAACTTGACAGTTTTTTTTTCCCCCACGAATTTTTTATTTTGTGTCAGACATTTTTTTTTGAAAAATAAACAACCACACAATTTTTTCTTTTTGAAATTTAGTAACCACACGAAATTAAAAGGTAAGAATCCTAGGCGTAAAATTTATTAGATAAAAAATTGAATCGAGGACCCATCAAATTCTTTTTTAATAAGTTTTTGATTTTTAAAAGATATTTGAATAAATTTCTAAATTTTTAATTCTGTGACTGACATGTTTAATAAGTTTTCTAAATTTTCAATCAGTCTAAATTGGACGCAAATTTAAAAGTTAAGACTAGTGAGAGATGAATTTTTCAGTTATTTGATTTTCTATTTTTGAAAATTAAATTTGTAAACACTCCTTTATCCATGTATTTGTTGTTTGGCCTTTGCTTTTAGAAACTATTTTCAAAATCTAATCCAAATTTTGAGAATTAAAAAAAAATAGTAGTTTTCAGAAATTTGACCAAGAGTTTAAATGGATTTTTTTAAAAGGTGAAAACAAACCAGCATAATCTTTGAAAAAAAATGGTTACTAAATTAGTCCTTATGAATTTATTAGACACTTTTAAAATTGTGCAACTTGTTAGATACAAAACTAAAAGTTTTAAAATTGTGCAACTTGTTAGATACAAAACTAAAAGTTTAAGAATTTATTAGAGGATGAAAAACTTATTGCACCAAATTTATAAGTTTAGAAATTAAAGTTAATTTAACCTGCTAAAATACTTTTTTTAATCGATTTTCGAATAAGCTTTTAATTTTAGTTGCAAACATTTGTAGGCTTTTTTGTTTGGATCCTTTTACTATTATAAATTTCATTAAGCTCCACAATTCATCCCTAATTATAAAAATGATGATGTCTATATATATAACATATAGGGATAATAAATGATGATACTTCGCATTTATTATATTTTCTTAAAAGAAGTAATTTATTAAATGAGGTCTTTAAATTAGACTTACAACTCTTATAAATGAAAATTAATTAGTTGGGTAAAATTTTTTATTTTGACATTTGTGCCCTTGAAATATTGAATAAATCACGGCATATGAAGCCATTTTATCAATTATTATGATTTTTTTAGTGAGAATGAGAATATGTATATAGAAGTTCATCGGTCTTGATTACTATGCAATTTTAATTATTTTTTGGGGAGAAATTCTCAATTTAATTTTCTCTAATATGTATGACCTTTTATTATTATTATTATTATTATTATTTGCTTTTGGACTTAACCTTTTGAAATTGGAAAAGGTTTATTTAAAAATTTTCAAAATTTTTCTTAAATTCTATCACATTATTCAAACATTGTCGTCTTAATTCAAAAATGCTATTTTTAACATAATAAAAAGTTTACAGAGTGTTTTTAATTGATCAAAAGTATTTTTTTTATATGTGTCAAAAAAAATAATTAGTATATCCAACACCAGGCCAAAGAGAATTTAGCTCAGTGATAATCGACATATACCTCCAACCAAGAGGTTGTGAGTTCGATCTTCTACCCTCCCTCATATATTGTACTAAAATAAAGTATGTATATACAAAACCAGGAAATAAATTTGTACTTTTATTTTTTATTGGCTAGGAATTAGTTATATGACAAAGGGAATTTGTTAACGTTCTACTTTCTCAATCATCCAACTACTGTGTTCAGAAAACAAAAATCTCAATCATCAAGACCCATTAAATAACGAACTTTCTTTACTATTTCTCATTTTCCCAAAAAAAAATAAAGTTTCTTTTCTTTAGTTATTGTTGGCCTTTTATTTGTATTTTGAAAAATAAAAACTGTTCTGTTTCTTGAATTTTCAGCTATAGTTTCATTTGTTCCATATATTTCAAAATTGTGCATTTTTTGTTCTTGAATTTTCAAAAATAGGTTTAAATAACCTCTCCACCAACTGACCTGATTAGATTGATGTGACAAATATGAGTTACAAGACCGTGACTATCGTGTAATACAATCGGATGGATAAAATTGTGATCTTACAATAGCATCATGATGTTTTTCCATTCGATCGAGTTACACTAAGATCTTTTATTCGGATAATATCAAGATAGGATTTAAGATCCTGGTTAATCTACAATTGGTTATGCATTGACCATAGTAATGTTATTGCCTTGTGAACACTGTGATTTTGATTTATAGTATAACCGAAATAGGATATATCATGGTGTTCATTCTCATGTTGCATTATGTGATGAACACTGCGATATAAAACCTTGTCGTAGTAATGGCTACTCAAGAACACCACCCATCCAAAATCACGAAAACAACCTATTTCTACATCTTTGTTCAGTTACATGAATCAATTCAGGTTCAGAATCTATCGAAAATAACATATCTACCATTTAAACTTATTTCTGAAAATTCAAGAGCAAAAATGCACCATTTTGAAATGTAGGCAAACCAATGAACCAAAAAATGAGCGACCAAAAGAGAATCCGCCAGATGGAGCATGCTCAATAGTTAACATATTACATGTAGTTTGGAATGTTGAGTGTTGTTTGAATGGTAATAAAAGAAGTGAAAAATTGTAGGTATTCGTGGGAATGCAAACGAGCTACATATTATGGGCATGGCTCATCGAAGGGAGACCACGGGCCACCATCTCCGCCTTGTTCATGTTCACTTGCCGTGGCATTCTTGGCTATTCCACTCAACTTCCACTCCCTCAGGTGCAGCCCTTTCACCTTCTACTTGTTGGCATGATTTGAGTTTTCTGAATGAGCTAGCTCCTATGACCTTTTTAGGGTTTTTTGGGATCGGAGATGGATTTTCCGGTCGGTAACGTATCCTTCTTCTTATTCTTCTCCGGGCACGTGGCCGGATCGGTGATAGCATCGTTGGACATGCGGCGGATGCAGCGGTGGGGGCTCGCCTGGACATTCGACTTCCTCAACCTCCTCCAAGCTATTAGGTTGTTGGGTACCAGAGGTCACTACACCATTGACTTGGCCGTCGGCGTTGGCGCCGGAATTCTTTTCGATTCCCTTGCCGGACACTATGAAGCCACACAGAACTCCAAGAACCTTGATACTCAGTTACCTAAAACTTTTGCTTAATTGCTTAACCCAAAAAGGACAGATTAGGCTACACCCTAGAGCCCCATCAATGGAAACTTTTCCATTAGTGTCTTGGACTTTGACAACGTTCTTTTAAGTATCCTAAATGTGTGTTCTTTTAAATAATTATTTAGAACTACTTCTCTAATTATTATTTTTATTTTTTATTTTTGCTAGGAGCCTAATAGGACTAGGGATATATCGAAAACTATTTGTTGTATGGATCTAAATTTTATGTTAGAGGTTGTATAAGCGTCATTTTGAACAAATTGGTATGTAATTACTACATATGTTTTGATGTTAAATAGGTTATATTACGAGTTTTATCATTATACTTCCAATATTATGTCTTTGTCTGGTAAGGTCTCTAAATTTTAAAACGATTGTATAGTTTTCTAAGCTTTTAATTAATTGTCAAATAGGTCCATAAATTGAAAAAAACAAAAGAAAAAGGGTCTAACAAGTCCTACCTTTTAAATTTGTTGAATTCAATAAATCATATTTTTTTTACCATAAAAGTATGAGTTACAATTATTTGTTGTGATCTTCCAAGAAAAATATAAAAAGTGCAATGGTTATTTTATTTTTATAATTTTATTAATTTTTAGTACAATAAAAATTGGTAGAGTTTTTAAAGAATTGAATTATATGCTCACAATAGATAGAGAAGCAGGGGCCTCTACCACTGGACCACAAGCGGCCCAACCCAACCTAGACTCGCCTTTGTTATTTCAAGATTTCAAAATAAAGTTTATATGGGAACACATTTAAATATCATGGTCTTTAAATATATTAAATAAAAGTGTTTTCTTTTATTTTTTATTTTTATCTTCACACCAAGGTTTTTCTTCTAACAATGTTTTGATTAGTTAACATTAAATCTATCTAAAACAAAATCTCTCGAGAGAAGAAACTCTTTTTATTTTTATCACAGAAAATCTCGTACTTAAGAATTGTGGGATAGATTTCAAATTATGGGTCCTCACCTATTTATAGTCCAAAAATATTTATCTATAAGGTAAATTTGTATAGCCACAAATTTACCACATATTAAAGGTCTTAGTAAGATCTAATGGCCACACTTTTGCCATGTGTCGATCTTGGACAAAGGGTAAGATTTCATGGTCATAAATTTGACACATCTTGAATTTGAAAAAAAAAAGTATATAATCTAGTGGCCATAATCTTGCCACATCTTAAACTGGGATAAAATATTTGATCCATGGCTCCATATTTTCCAAATAATTATTTAACAAGTTGGCAAAATAAATATTATGTAACCAACCCCTTCCCTTAGCAAAAAGTGCACATTAAAAAGATGCTATTGGTCAGATTTGAAAAGATATACTAAAATGAAAATTTAAGAAATAGAGGGACTGAACGTGACAAATTAAGCTTAAGAAAGAATTTTTTATTCGCGAACCCTCCATGATTGATGGAATTACACTTATACCCTCCTCTACCTCCTCCAGTCCCAAGTCCGACGGAAATAATTTTATCGCAAAAGAAATCTCATCTCCGATTCTCCAATGGCATGCGATCGCCACCGGCTTTAGGCGGAGATTTTTCCGCCGGCAGGTGCTAGTGAAGACTAAATTGCAAGAATGTCCAAGAACTGTGCCGGTGACTGTGGCGGTGGTTTCTAAAGGGAGGCTGTGGACGCCGTAAACGTGGCGAGGTACCATTGGCTACCTTTTCTGGCTTTCGCGCGCGTGGAATTCACGTCCCCAATGGTCCCACCGGTTTCGCCTCCTCATATATTGGAGTTTGAGGTGACGCCGTCCTCTTCGTCATGTACTCCACGTGGCCGTGGTTCAATAAATAATAATTGAATTAACATACATTTGTCCCTAGACTTTCAAATAATAATTTAGTTATGTGATTTATGCTTTAAAATTTCTTATAAATTAGTCACTGTGATTAAAAATTAGTTAGATTTAACCGAAAGTGTGAGGTGGCTAAATTCATGTGTAGAATTTAAATGATTAGCGATTAGAGTTGGTAATTTAAGTTATTGTTTTTATTTCTTTAATAAAAATTTAGATTAAATTACCAAGTTTGTTTGGGGAAGGGTATACTCGGGACACGTAGAAGACCCCTATTGGTGCCCCAAGATGACTCATGAATCACGCCCAG